TTTAACAATGCTGTTTGCAGTGATAAATGTCCGGTGGGACTTTTGCTTATCTGTCAGGTATCTTTTTGTGGTTACAGATGCAAGCTTGATGGCAGAATCCTTTAGTAACAAAGTCAACATGGGTTCTTTGGTCTGAGTGCTTGGTTTAGCTGGTGTTTGGCTCCTCAATACAGAGATCAAAGAATCCGCTCTCTCCGTCAGAGAGTGAGACTCAGGATTTTGACTGCAGAAGTGGTTGGCTCACTAAGGTTGAAGGATATTATTGTGCTTTGAGTTTCAATCAACCTCATTCTTGCAGTTGGATGTGATGCAGCACTGTGATCACTACCTTCTGGAAAAACACTTTTCGGACCGCTGTGGAAAGCTTTAGCGATGCCAGGCGTATTGCTTACTGACCCACTGCTGAAGTCAAAAGGTTGGATTTTAATAAATACATTTTTGAAGTGTGTTGGGAGACCATGGGAAGCATTTTTGTTATTCTTACTGAGATATATCATTTTTGAGTGTGGGTCCCCGATGCTCACATTTTTTTCGAACATCATTTGTTCTCCATTTTTTACTGGTTTTCCTGCAGCATAAAGTGACTTTGATGAGCGATAAAGCGCAGTGGTTGTTGAAATAGGTCTCTCTGTTACTAAAGTTTCACTAGGATTGGTGTTCCTCGCTTGTATCTTGGTGTCTTTTTGTGTTACTGATGACATCTCAGCAAGGGGCCGTATGCCAACTGTTCCTGTATCTGAGAGAGAAGATTTGATTTGGAAATTATTCAAAATGCCATGACTGTAATTCACAGTTTTATTGACGGATAAAGGAGGAAGTGTCACATTATAAACTAGTTGTTCCCTCATACTGAAACTAGAATGCTTTGTAATGTTTTGGTGACTGATATCTTTGTTCAGCAATTCTTCAACAGGCTGTTGATGTAAAGTGGGTAATGAGGTTGTAAATTGATTAAAATCTAAGGCAACCCCCTCTGTAAGAAAGTCTGAAGAACCATCGGGTGACAGTGCAGGAACAGCCACAGATTTCTCAATGGACACTGCTCTTCGATTTTTCAGGCAGGTCAAACACAAGCTTGTCACAGTGTTTCCTCTAGCTGAATCTTCTGCTGTGTTGCTTTGGAAGATGGACTGCATCGTACTGAACAAATGCTCATTTCTTGCCAGGTATGAGAGTCCCCTTTCATCCTTGCCTTGAGATCGTTTGCCATCATTGTCATTACGCAGCATGGCCAGGTTATCAATTACACGAGGATGGGATGCAGATAGGATTGGAACTCCCGGCCCTCCGTCAGCAGATGTGAAAGTAATAGAGTCAGTCTTTCTCTGATTCCTGTTATCAAGCAGAGTGTGGAGCCAAAGAGAGGCTTTCACTGCATTTGCGGAGAAATGGACCTCTGGCTCAGAGGTGCCATTCATCTTTGATTCAAATGCTGCTGGTGTAGACGAGAAAACAATCTTCTCATAATTAGAGATCAATGGCATATCTGATTCACTGTGGATTCTCATAGCTAATGGGTTGTCTCTTGATATGGGAGAGTCTGGACCATTTCTGGAAACAAAATGCCTTCCCCTCGTTGAGGCAATTGTAGCGAGTGCTTTTGTGATTTGTGTTCTTTTGTAAGGTGCCGTTGGTCTGGTATCAAAGAGGACCGCCCCTAGACTCTTGGCCGTCACTGCCAGTGCAGTGTGTTGACGTGTGCTCTCTGTAGGTATTGCTTCTGTGCCATGACCGATTGTGTTTTCCTTTTTCAAAAGCAGATCTGTTGTGACAGTTATGCCTTTTGTTTGTTCTGTGTGGTGACCTTGGAAATCTTCGTTTTCTGCCCTGACTACACAGAAAAAAACCTCAAATCACTCAAATTTCTTACCCGAAAGATGTATAGTACTAAGTACTGAAAAATAAATTTAGATTAATTAGTATTGTAGATTCATGCTGTCTTGTCTGCTGTATAGGAGTTGATTAAAATTAATGTTGAAATGTTGCATTATTTTAAACATTAAAATTTAATCAAATTTAAAAGGCTTGCTAGTGCTAGTGCTTTGATCCCACTGAGAATCAACCAGGGTTACATTTCATGTTAGCAAGTAATGCTGTCAGGGTGGGATGTGAAAATTAAATAACTTCCAAGTGAATAAATAGTACATCATGAGATCCATTGATATTCAACACATATAAGAGTGTCAGGTTACTCCAAAAACACTAGCTAGAAAGGAAGGAGTTCCAATAAATGCTAGTCTGCAGCTCTGTCCAGACTGGCATGTTATCATGATTTAGATAACATTATTAGATTTATTATCATTATTAAAGTACCCTTTGTTTTTAACTAAAGGTGTTGCAGAGATATATTTTTGTGAGTGGGTCCACTTATCATTAGTATCACATATATGCAATAAGAACACGGGTGACGTTAAATATTTCTGCTGTCTATGGAGGCCTATAATGGGATTTATGGTGGATTTATGCCTCTCTGTTGGCTCAGCTGGATGGATGGATTTCACCAGTTGATTGGCATACCATAGGTAGCAAAAGACCACAAAATATAAATTAGTCTAGCACTGGAACATAAAAAACAATTAAAGGTGGGGTATGCAAGCCTGGAGATCCAATACCATGACAAATACCATGATATAGAGCGGAATCATAGCTGGAATATTGTTGTGTGGCTCGGTCTGAGCCACTTTGTTTGTTTGCCTGACGGTTTGTTTGCTGTGTACAAACACTCAGAGCTCACAGCTAGCGGACGGTGAGGAAATATTCCAACTTTGAGCAGCCCAAGCTAACCAATCACAAGACTGTTGGTGGATTTTGCAAATGTTTCCTGCGGTAGAAAATGTGTTTGACAGTTTGATGAATGATGCAAACAAAATGGTTTACACTCCAACCTCCACAGGGTACCTTTAATAATTTCAACCCTGTTGTGAAACAAAGTCCATCCATCCATCCATCCATCCATCCATCGTCAACCGCTTAACCTGCGTACAGGGTTGCGGGGAAACAAAGTCAGAGAAGTTAATTAAATTAATTATATTGTTAATAATATTGACACCGTGTGACTGATGTGACTAAGATATTTGTTTTTACTGTTTATTGCAGCACTAATAATATTAATAGGGAGCTTTACAGTGAAATAAATTTTTGAAGCGAATTTCTAGTCTGGTGTCAGATATCAATTTAGATGATGAACTATGAGGAAGGCAATGACAGCGTTTGTATTGTATAAGATGTTATATTAAAACATAGAAGAAATGATCAAGGAAAGTGCAGGAGGCAAAATGATCTAATTACATTCACACTGCTGTAAGTAGTGATATTTTCCTAACATATATTATATTAAGTATATTATGTTAAGATAAAGTTGTGTGTCAGCCACAGTGAGATGCAGACCTACTTATTTACTATTACTATTTCAATATTTCACTGTTTAGTTGTTGATTTTATTTTTTATTTTATTTTTCTATTGATTAAAGTGATTAAATCAAGTGAGTGATTAAAATAAATTTATAGAGAATGTTGGATTTTGGGCTACTACGTGAAAAAGACCATTTAAAGCCATTCAGCTCCTATTTGCTTTTTCATGTTTAAACTGCATATAAAAACTCCTTATAAATGTTTTTTGCTTTAAATTTAAAAAACAACAATGTGTATTATGTTTCAAATTCAGCATTTACCAACAGTGCAAATGTGCTGGAACACAATGGAAGTAAAAACAGTAAAATGAACAAAAATATGAAAAATACATACCTGTAAGCAGGAACAGTCCTAGTGTGAAACAGTAAAGCCTCCTCATTTCTGTTCAGTCTTGTTTAGTCAATAACTATCGCCCCGGTAAATAACTGTTCTTACTACTGTTTGGTCCTACTGAGCAGACGGTATCAGTTGTATCATCCCTTACAGGGAGCTTTTGTCCTCTGCAGTTCATTTATACATGGATTACATTTCTCAGTCACCGTTCCTTTGACAGTCACTGCAGTCACCACGTAGCCAAGTGGTACAAGAGAACAGAAATTACATCTCTATTTATGCCAAATTGTATTAGTTTATGGTAATATGAATAAACATCCTTCTCTTCACTTTAACTCTATTACAAACTTCAGATTAATTGCTATTTCTATTGGTCCTACATGAAAAGTCAAGAGATCACCAAATTCATAAGGCATGGGCACCATAGATATCTGTGCCAAATGTCATGGCAGTCCATGCAATATTTGTTGAAATATCTTACTAAAAACAAAAATGTCAACCTCATGATGGCATAAGAAGAAAAAAAGTCACGGTATCATCAAAGTCAGTAGGCTTTTTTCCTCTTGGGAACCATAAATTTCATGGCATGGTAACATTTCATGGCAAATTATCCAGTAGGATAGCTGTCGAAATGTTTCAGTCTGGATCAGAATGATGGAGTCACTGACCAACACACCACCATTGCCATCCCAAGAATCCTTTTTTATTCTTTTTTAAGGTGTAATAAAGCTGTGCCCATACTAGTAAAGTGTTATCATGATTCTTTTGATGCCAGCCTTTTCAACAGGGCTATCCAGCCACAGGTTTGTGCATACTAGCGCTCATCATTCCTGCTCCATTTGTCTCTCCCAGTACTCTACAAGTCATCACCAACATTATGCTAGCAGAGTTATAACTCTGACCTTCTTACAGTGGTTTGGCTCACTTTGGTGCAGTGGTTCAAAGCTGCTGTCACACAACTAGAAACCTTTCTATATTAATTACCTGGGCCAAGCCATTTCTGTGAGTTTACAATTAATCCTCATATTTCATTCACATCCAGATTCTGGCAGACATCAAACTACATTTACCTAACTGTAAACAGTCTTGAGATGACTTGTCCCTCCAGTACTGCCAAACAGATTTTTTTTCTTTATCAGTAATATGGGACTCAACTGCACCTTTCTGGAAAGGAAATTTAAAAAAAACTAAAAAACAACAACACATCTACAGAACCACAAAATAAGGGAAATACTAAAGGTCAGCACAAAGTAAAATTACCCTTTAGAACACACAATTTATTAGAACTTGTGATTATGGTCACATAATGGTATGACTGACAAGATTCTCAGTAATACAAGCTGTTATGCAAGCAATATGCTCCATAATTTTCATTTAACACACTTCTTCATGGTAAATAAGAGAAAGAGTGTCAAGACGAATGACTAAATGACAGATTATAACACTATGACGCCTTAAACAACAGGGATACAGTACATCCATCTAATCAGCATCTCACTTCATCTCCCATCAGTATGTTAATACTGCTTGATCAATATCTGTCCTTCAGAATTCCATAATTACAGATTATACCACTGTTCACGTGAAGTCTTCAGACTAGGTGCTTGTTTGCTTAAACAGTGAATTCTTATAATTTATTTATGTGCTTAGCAAAAGCAAAAGTATTCATGACAAATATTTTGTTTCATGAACATATTTTGTACATTTTAATGAAATTTTAATCTAACAACAGATACATAAAAATTGTAAAACTGGCTGCACTTGACCCTCCATCCACACATATGCATGGCAATTAATGATATAAATTCACAAAGGCATGAAAAACAAGGATAGCCAAGAATGTTGTTAAGGTTTTTGACCTTGTTCATGTAGATTAGGCAATTAGGAGATTTTCTCATTTAGAGATAGCCTTAAAGGTTCTTTCAATAGAAAAATCCATATTATTAAAAAAATGATTGATTGGAATAGTAATAAATGATAAGTTTAAAAAAGAAATAAGTTATACGGTACACAGTGTTTATTAGCAAATTTTTGTTTTCCCCAATGGGTTGGTAAGCGTCTAATCCTAAACCAGAATACAGAAGAGAACAAGACTGATGAGAAGCAATAAGATTATAAAACATGTTACTGTCATGGGTTCATGTGATGAGCTTCATACAGGAATGCAGAATCTCAAGGCCGTGAAGTTCTCGAAGTTTGTTCATATGTCTGGAATTGACCACAAAAAAAACACACACATTAAAAGCAAACACAGTGAGAGTGTGTTCAGTGGGTTGTGAATTTGTGAGCTTGGGAACAAAAGATCAACACATCCTCAACACAATCATAGAAGAGTGTCTTGTCTGTTTTTATGAATGCAAATTAAATGTCTTAGTTTTTGACTGTTGGTTTGACAGAAAAAGCACTTTGTCAAAAAAAAGTCCTATATAATTGCCCAAGCTGTCATCTTCAAAGTTTATTCAAGACAATAATAAGCAGATTAATGGATATTGAAAAAAAAGTTAATTGTAGCCCTAAAATATTTCTAACAGGCAGCAATGTTGATAGACTAAATGGACTAAAATTTGATAAAACAACCAAACAAATTGAACAACAACTACGGCCAGAACCCAAACCCAACACTAACCTTAGATGTATATTATGAAGTCAAAACTCTCTTTCGCTCACCCTTTATCTTTCTCTCCATCTGTCTGGACTGTCGGGGACACAATCTAAAAATGCAATCCGTCTAATAAAGACACTGTCTACTGCTGGCTATCAGCCTATCCATCATGGTTAAGCAGTAAAGCAACTGCATTAAGAAACAGTAGTAACGTATAGCTATAACCATGCATTAGAATACAGTATGACTGAAAGTGGGGGATGTTTGCAGAAGAAAATGAGACAAACTACAAATATGTTAATAAACGTTTGAATACTGAATTTGAGTATAATAAACAATTTTTGAATTTGCCTCATGTGCGACCCACTTCTTTAGATCATCACATTACCGCTTTGTCAGTGTGGCATTTCATCTAATCTATCAATGTTCCATAAGGCTAGTTTCTAGAATGTAATGAACGACAAGTGGTTTATAGAGTGAAGCAAGAGGGCACCTGGGCTCAGATTGACACAGCTTCCCCAAAGCAATCGCTGCATTTTGCTGCACAGCTGTCCTCTTAGCATCCCCTGCAGCGTGACGCAGTAGCAGTAGCACAATATCAGTGCCCAGCAGGTTGCTGGCAGTTCCCTCCAAATAAAGACAGTAGGCCAAACACAGGGCTGCATTTCCTGACACCATCTCATCACAGCTGGAACCCAGCAAATGGCGTAAAATAGACAATTCTGTGTAGAATGATAAATGAATAGCAAGTAGAAAGAGAACAGCCCTTTCAAATATATTCAGAAAAACGCATGTAATGAAATGAAAATGCACTCACACACATGCAGTATGCATACAAATGTAGACACACAAACACACACTTAATTTGCATATTAGGTCAACAATCAAATATTATCCATGGACCAATGAAAGACCTTGTAAAAGTAATGCTAACACCTAAGTCATTTCTCACTTTTATCAGTCTTCACCAGCTCCTCCCGGGCCAAGTGACTGGCAGCAGTGCACACTGTCAGAGTCTTAATGGCATACTTAGTGGCAGTCTGCCCTGTTCCCTGGGTAGGCAGATGCAAACATAGCAATGACATTAAACAAGTATGTTTGTGAAGTGTGTAAAATTATCTGAATAATACATACATAGTATGAATGTAGTAGAATACTGATGCCATTCATAAATATTAAAATGAGTAAAGTACTTCATACAGATTAGAAAAGGTAGTTGTTTTTTCATGAGCGTGTTTTCATCGTGTCTTTAGATGACAATGAATGTTTACGAGTATGTAGGTATAAGCTGGGTAGTCAGAAAATATAAATATCTGGTTTTGTTAGTTTTGTTTATTCATTTTAATTTTGTTACAACCTAGCTTGTGAATATGTATTTCTGATCAGTGATCACTTAAGCTGTGTGTGAATGCAATGTTGGCCACTAAAGTTTTAGACATCTGGAGCTTCAAACCAAACCATATGTCCAACAACACCATATAGCCAACAAACACAGCTCAGGCCTAATAAAGAAAGTGCTCTGCATTACAAACCACATGTCTTCTTTAATCTTGTCAGTGTTTTAAGAATTAAATCAATTTAAATATAGTTGGGGAATATATTAATATACAAATAAGTATTGAGAAGAAACTTGGCTATATGTATAGTTATGCACCTTAAGCAGTCGGTGCATGGTCCGGACCACATTCCCCTGTATAACATGCTGAACGGCTTCAGAGGACTGAGGGAGGACAGTGCTCAGTACGCCTGTGGCTCTCTGGAGGACAAAGAAGAATGTTGGTATTAGAAAAGAAGATAATAGAAGATAGAAAAAAAGCAGACGAAGTAAGATGGATGAGAAAACACAGCAGAGAAATAGAGAGGATATCAGAGGATCAAGAGAAGACTGCAGCATGTTTGACAACTTTAAGGAGTGCGGTGAGACAAAGAGGTGGACTGGTTATATTGGACTACTGGAACAAGACTCACAGAATTACGTTCACACAAGTGAGTACAACCACTGTGTTGCTTAGCAACATAGCATTGTGTGCACTACACGGTATGTAAGAATGCGCAGCTCTCTTTGCTTTAATATAATAGTGGCTGCAGCCGCTGTGGAGTTTATATTGTTTATACATCTCTGTTTTCTGCTTTAGTGATGATTAATTCTGCTGTTACAGTTGCATTTATTTTATTTCTGTAGCCTAACAATGCTTGTTGCACCCATCATCCTCTTTTTATTTATTGTTGCTCATTTGTACAAGCTACAATGTACAAGGTTTTTTATTAGTAATTTTACAGCACAAGGCTGCATAACAAAATGAAATTTGTAGCTCCTTCATGCTACACATACACACACACACAATATAGGTTATAATTAAGTGTAGGCCTATATTAAAATATATTATATTATTTCTTAATATATTGTGTTTATATATATTGTCTGAGTTTTATCTCTTTTCTGGTTAATTGTAGTGAGTCTATACAGAGCAAGGCCATTGTATATTTATAATTTATAATCAGCAGTATGCATGACTGCAACATCTTTACAAATGGAATTTATTGCTTACGGTGGCGTGATGTTATTCCAGTAGTGTCACTAGATTTACATTTAATGCAACTGTAGCCCACTGGCTGATTATTCCCTTCAACGGAAGGATATTTTTCTATATATCTTTACTGAAAATAGTTTCAATCTTTCAATTTATACAACTTTTCTTTCAGTTTCTGATTGTTCACTGTCCCCTAGTTCAAGGTATGGTTGGTGGGGTTAAGACAGTTCATAGAACTTAGTTAAGTTTAAAAAGAAAAGATAGCGAGCGCGAGAGAGAAATGAAAAGTAGTGTGTATGATTTGAAAACAAAACAATTGCATTCCCAATGAATATTAGGTTTGAAAATACAACATTTGCCTGATTCAGCATGACTTCCTGTATAAACCATGCCCACGTCCGACCTTCTATCCAAATACAGATGCAGAAACAGATCATTTTGTTGGCTGAACAGATAAAGACAAGGACGTCTCTGTACATCTCTAGTCCTTACACCTCCACTTAAGAGAGCTTACCCTAAATGTATATATAGTAAAAAAGAGAAAAAATTTATAAAGCGATACATGGGGACCCTATGGAATCGGGGGCTTTAGGTCTTTGGTGTAACCATGATCATGCATTAAAGAGAAAATAAGGTAGGTGAAGTCAAGACAAGACTAGAAATTCCAGAGCAGAGAAATTGAGAACATTTTAAAAAGGTGCCAGCCAGGCAGTGAGTGAGCACTAAAACAGAGTAAAGAGGCAGGTGGGTGGAAGTGTGGGACTCTGAGGGCATTGCATAGGCAGTGAGAAACTCTACAACAGCCATTAGCACAGACAACAGCACCTGGAGCTGGAGTTTTCATCAACTGTAATGATACATATACGGGATCCTTTGCATATTGTGGAATGTTGTTGTGTGCTCACTGGCAGTGTTGTGAGCACACAAGCCCTTGAAAAGGCCCATTACTCAAGACGAATGTCTTTTATTTTGGTCTAGTTACCTGGAAGGATGGCTTTATGCTTTATAGCATTTACGCAAGTTTGGAAAACAAACAAAAAGTTTTCAGCAAGTGTCTCATACAACTGTAAAAATGACTAATATTTTAAATTTTTCAAAGTTTTCCTGGTCCAACACTGTAATGAAAAGCTAATGGGTGGAATGAAGCAGTTAAGCAACTGCCAATATTATGCATTAGAGCTTCCTAATCTTACTATAAGAATCTTTTCCAATCCTCCTGAGTACTGTAGTGAAGTGCTAAAGTAAGATTCACTCACAGTTATGACTCCTCCATCACTATCCCTCAGCAGGCCCAGACAGCAGTCACAGAGGGAAACAGCATGCTCCTACAAAGAGGAGACGCAAAAGTTGTTCAACCAATTTTCACATACATTTCACCTCCGATTAGGTCACACATCACTGTTCACACAAAAGCTCCCTCTACTTCCCTTGTTCACTGGCTTTCAACATTTTTTTGCATTACAGTATATGCTAATCTACTAGATTTCAGGGGTGTGCAGTGAATTTTCTGTCAAAATGTATAGTTATTTCAAGCTGACCCCCACACTGAATGACAGTTCAGCTCAACCTCCAATCTAAGATACAGTATCATCATATCATCAACTAGCACAGTGCCCACTATTAAGATAACTAGAGATACGTAAGATGGAAGGTAAATGTTACACTTAATAACATACCCATACATAAGTAAAAACTCCACACCACATACACTAAATATTCCACATCACTTCTTACCTGAATGACTGGAGAAGTGATAGTTGAAAGGTTGATGATCAAACCAAGCATTGGGTAAAGGACCTCTTTGTTTCCGCATGCACTGCACTGCCTCTGCAATGACAGCCAACAAATTAAAAAACAGTTAAAATGTTCCCGAGATATATATCCTATATATCCTATATGTACTCAGATCTTTTATTAAAATAAGAGTACAGTATTAGCATCAAAATGTAGCTCAAAATACCAAAGTAAAAGTAGTTATCATGCAGAATGGCCCATTTCAGAATAATATATATACTGTCAATGGATTATAATTAGTGATGCATTAATGTGTAGGTATCCATAATATCTAATTGTGTCATTCAAACTACTCTGAGTTGTACTTTTCTATGCAAAGACACCAGTCTGTAATGATACTAACAATGGCGACCAGAAAGGCCTTCCAACACTCTGGATCATGAGCAAAATTGTGACAGATGACGTCATCTCGAGCCAGACTGCCAACAGCCGATATCAGCGATGGAAGGATATGCTGATTGGACTTGCTGATATTTCTCTGGAAAATGAAGCAAACAGCACATTTTCCCATGCACACACACACACATAAACACACCTATACATATTAGTTTGTTCTGTATATCAATATAATAGTTTGCATCTACATATCTTACCAGTATTGTTGTAAATGGTGCAATGAAATAGTCTGTCAACACACTCCTTAACTGAATGCAAAATCTGAAAGAAAATATGAATACATATCTACTGTACATGGAACACAGACATATTATGTATATGGGTTTAAACAGTATGTATAAATATGGTGCAAGGGACTTGTAGCATGTATGGAACAACACACACGTGTACAATGAACATGGATGCTTGGGCGAGGAGGGAGCGAGTAAAGTCTAATCCTCTTCACAGCCCAGCATGACACAAGTAAGCACGACTGCATCAACTGAGCAAGTAAAAATTTCAAAGAAAGCTTTGAAAGGAACCACATAAGAGGGCACCAAATGCCCTTATTGTCTGAGTCATAAAGGAGTCGATTCAATTTAGTGGTCAAATTGCATTGATTGTCATGTCTCTGAAGTGTCTCATTCATCCACATCGAAGGCAGTAAAAAGCAGATTGAGTTGCTGTGATATCTACACAGAACAGTCCAGTTACTTTTGACTGATGACTAAAAACAATAATTAAATATGTTATATGCCATGTACACATAGAATAATACACTGTACATAGATGCATGTGTGCAAATGTATATACATTCTGTAAATCTTTTCCTGGGAGGGGTTTGTACGATAAATTTGGAATTTGGGAAGGTATTCATTTATACTACAAAACAAAAATATCCATGAAAGCCCAACATTGACCAAGCTGAGCTTCTACAAAGAAGAGGAAACATCTATAGGATATAACATTTTTGTTGAATAACTCTCTTGACAGCTATAGACAAGCAAAATTGATCTCCCCATTTCACTGCTTGACACCTCAACTTATTTCCTGCTGTGTTTGAGTGCCTGGGTCGTCCTTTTATGTCTATTTTCATGATGCGCCAGAGAGGGAAACAGGTTGTGAATGGCCTTTTGCCTTCAAGTGACATTAACACTTGGATAGCACATGTTGAATTATTAAAGATGCCACACTTTCCATTTCTCAGGGGGCCCTTCCAGACGTGATGTGTCGACAAATATTAAAGTGCTTTTAATATATATGGATATGATGTAAGGGAAGATAATAAACTGTCTTGTGGGTCATATTCTGATGTCTGAGTATCTAAAATATGGGTGTGATGAGAACAATTATGGTATTTCTGCTGGGTGTATCAGTAATACTTGTTTTCTGCTGTAAGGTTCTCCAGAATGTTGACCGCTGCGTTCTCTTGCCGCTGCTTTGGCTTTGAGATGCAAGCCATGAGGTTCCTCATTAGTCTTTACATCAAGGTAAAATAGAAACAGAGAGGCAGACATAAGAGAAAGAGAGTGAAGAATACAAAAAAAGAGAATCAACAATTTTGCTAAAAGACACGTTCATAATGAATATCATCAAGATATCAGTGAATATTTTGTACCCAGATAATGAGGGTGTCCACCTTTGGTTCAAAATAATGCCAAAATGGAGTATCAATATTATATAAAAGTATTTTTTTCCTACTTTTCAAAAATAAAAAACAATCAGCTGCAAATGAGATATTATTAGATTATTGGGACAACATTTCTTGAAACCCATTTAACAGACGTTGCAATTGGACAGACAGTCACAAACCTAAAGTCCCGCCACTGATTTCAGTAAGGGGGATAAAGTGAAATGCAAAAGTATAATCTCCATATTATTGCTCTCATCAGGTGCATCTGATGGCAACATAGAGAAATATCTTACATGGGCACATTCAAGTTGTCAGCAGCCAAATGTCTGCCTTGTGGCATCTGTGAATACAAACAAAGTAATGCCAGGCATTCTTTCTGTGCTGCAACATGCTCTGATGTTACCAAGTCAACAATGGACTGTCTGGTGACTGGGCATGTCATCAGCATCTTCTGGTTTTCATCTGAAAAGAAGAACAAGAAATAGTTCACAGTGCTCTGTGATGTTCCCACCAACAACAACCCAGTCTGCAAACACAATTATATAAACATTCACTTGCTGTGTGTGTAACATACACACACTGTGAATGGCTGTGTAAACAAATGATCACAGTTGGCACAAACACCTGATGTGCTGAAGCCCACATAGCTTGTGTGATTAAAAGACAAATGAAAGCTTGACAAAAGAGAAGGCTTGAGTATCACACTGACGAGCTGTGCAGTGATGACATAATGCCATTCTAGACGATTATGCAGTATTTCAATTAGTAAATTGTTTCCTATATTTCATGAGAACTCAGTGAGAGCGAAGTGATATGTGGACTAAGTGGACAAAAAAAATGAAATGCAACTCAATTATTTACATACCATTTCCACAACAAATTACCCTCCATAATTTCAGAACAGACACACACAACTCCTGGCTGTCTGGATCCTTTGTTTTCTGCAACAGGCAACTGTGGAGAAAATAAACTCACTGCTCTTAGCTTGGTTCTCTTCCAACTGACATTATATAAATCAAACGGAAATATTACTGTCAAAGTATAAAAATGTTATTTACACAAAAGTATGCCAATAAAAAATGCATCTCAACACAAGACAAAGGATGGAAACAAAAACTGATTAATATGTTGATAACACAAGACATGGGAAGCAATTCACAAGAGCTAAGATGTCATCTCATTTCATATGAATATTAAGCGATCTTGCTGCAGCCCTGTTTTCTTACGTACCAAAAGGCACTCTATACAGAAGTTCATATCAGCACAGCTAGTACAGGTTTTCTGAGCATACAGTACGTATTTACAGATACCACACTTAAACATCGTAATGCACTTTGCCCTTCCATTTATCTACATTGACACATTTGTGTAACATAGCCATAACCAGAAGAAGTCATCTGTGATCCCGCTAAGGTGTTTGCAATTGACATAATCACTGTCTCTGTCCTGAAGAACCTTGTATGTGCTGCTACATGTTGGCTGAAGCTTATAGCCTATTTTTTTATCGTAGTATCTGTTACATTTAATTACAAATTAGCCCAGGCGCACGGGAGGACATTTTGGCTTAGGGGTGCTGCAGAGTAGAAATGCGCATGCAGTGTTGGGAGTACAACAAAAGTAACCCTTTTTGCTGTAACACAGTTATATCACACATTACTAAAAATATATTAGCAATATTATAGCCTACCCTTTACAATCTCAGTAATACATGTTACAACTCATTTTAACCCGAAATTAAGTGAACACCAAGAAAGATTTCAGCACCAGAAAAACAAATCCATGAGATAAAGAATAACATTATTTCCTGTTGCGGGAATCTGATGATCGAGATTGTTGGCCGGGTGCAAACTACGGGGGAGCTCAGCTCCTCTTGGTAGCTTCCCTGACGGATCATGCGTAAATAGATTTAGGCTTTGTGTTTGTGCATTAACGAATTACTTTCATGATCAGAGAGGCTGCTGTCAGTTCATGTGTCAGGAGATTCAAATATAATAATAATAATAATAATAATAATCCTTATTTGTAGAGCACTTTTCAAAAACAAGTTACAAAGTGCTTTAACAAGTGTAAAGAATAATACAAAAAAAAAGATAAGAGCATGAAAATTTAATATAAAATTAGTAAAATACAATAAATAAAAGGGATAAAATAAAGTCAAATAAGATCGGGAAAAGCTCTCCTATAAAAGTATGTTTTAAGAAGGGACTTAAAAGAGTTCACTGACTCAGCCGACCTGATTTCCTCGGGCAAGCTGTTCCAGAGCCTCGGGGCCCTGATAGCAAACGCTCTGTCCCCTTTAGTTTTCAGTCGAGACTCTGGAACAGACAACAGACCTCTGCCCGAGGACCTCAATGTACGTGCTGGTGGACAGAACGAAGAGACATAGTTGTTTACAGACACGCAAAACTTCCTATTTGACAGGTAGGATGAAAACCATTCTAGAGCAGTACCAGAGATCCCCACCCAGTGCCTCAGTCTGTCTAACATGATGTTGTGATCAATGGTGTCAAAAGCAGCGCTAAGGTCCAGGAGTACAAGGACTGAGCACATACCTTCATCAGCAGACATTAAAAGGTCATTGGTGACTTTAAGCAGGGCAGTCTCAGTGCTGTGGTACTTCCTAAAACCAGAATAATTTGTTATTTTCCAGCACAGTGAGCAGCTGTTTGGACACAATTCTTTCTAGAATCTTTGCAATAAAAGGCAGTTTTGAAATTGGTCTAAAATTATGTGGGAGGGAGGGATCTAAACCAGGTTTCTTTAAAAGTGGGTTCACGCAAGCCGTTTTAAAATAATCAGGGACACAACCAGTAGATAGGGAGCTGTTGAAAACAGAGATCAAATGGGGCCCAACAGAATCAGATTACTTTCAGTAAAAATTTTGTAGGTATTATATCAAGTGGGCTGGAGGACACTCTCATTTGTGATACTGTTTTTAAAAGCTCAGACAAGTCGATGGGATAAAACTGGTTAAAACTCTGTTGTTGCTGGTGAGGGACCTCTGAGTAAGAGGCCACGGGGGTAATAGAGGCTCTGATTGACACCACCTTATTGGTAAAATAAGATAAAAACAATTCACAGTCATCATTACTTCCAGCTGAGGCACAAGGAGGGGTTGGGTTTACCAGCTGATCCACAGTCTTAAACAGAAACCTGGGATTGTGTTTATGTGCAGTAATGAGTTCAGAAAAATAGTGTGTTCTCGCATCCTTAACCATGTTATTGTAGTTAATTAATAAATCCTTCAGACTGAGGTAATGGACTTGGAGACTGGATTTTTTCCATCTGCGCTCTGCTTTCCTGCATTCCCTTTTGAGGCTGCGAATGCTGTCATTTATCCAGGGTTGCTTACTAGCTTTAGACATAGGCCTAACCTTTAGAGGAGCAGTAATATTTAGTGACGACAAGCAGATATGATTGAAGTGATCGACCAGATTGTTGGTGTTATAAATAATCAATGGCGTTATGCGGCTGTACCTCGTGGTAATCTTAATGGGGAGACGATTCATCCTATTTCACCACTCCACCGCTATTAATCAGAAGGTTCATTTTTATGACAAAGACCCACCCGATCCACAGATATACTGTAACTCATAGAACCCACCATTCCAGCGCATCTTACTATCAGAATAATGTGCCCATTAAACAGCAGTGAAAGTCACGCAAAGTAACGCAAAATAGTGTAAAGCACTACAATTCAGAGACTGAAACATTATAATATAACTAATAACTCTCAAATGACAGTAACTAGTAATCTATATTACATTTTGGAAGTAACTTGCCCAACACTGCGCGCATGACACGACTGTGTGTGTGCATGCACTAACACACTTTCCTTCAACATAGAGTGGTTACAAGCAGTTGTATGAGGTCACCAAGGTCTGTACCTCCATAATTATATGTATGTATGTATAAATAAAATCATTTGAATAAAAAACATTGATAACACGATCAACTTTAATGAAGGCTACGCGGGCACAGCTGATTACACCGTCTCTACCCTCATCCAAATCTGTTCCATACTTAGTGTCCACACTTGGGGAAACACATGAAGTACATGAAAACCTTGTGCGTGCCATAACCGAGAGCACCGCTGCAAAACGATTTCTGACTTTCCGAGTGGGTGAAATAAGGTCAAGAGTCTCCCCATTAAAAGAGACGCTGTGCGCATTTACACACGGGGCACAGCAGCATAATATTTAAATTGACACGCCAACAGGATCAGTCAGAATCTAATGTTAATTAATGTTCTGTATTCTTCTACACATCCAAAAGGTCTCACACACAGCTTAGGTTAATACAGTGAAACTGTATGGAATAAAGCAGCCGTCCTCCTGATCAATCCTGAGCTCCATCAGAGCATCTAAATTATTTCAGAAACTAAAATGTTGAATTCTGTTTCCTCTGCAGACTTTCCTCTTGTCCTTTCAAGTTTATAACTACAGTTTTTAGTTTTGCTGCATAAATGTCCCAGGTTATTTGCTGACATTACAGCGCCAATGGAAACGTTTAAAATGACTGACAGCCGCCTTTCTAATCATGAAAGTAAACCGTTAAAGAAAACACTTGTACATCAGCACAATAAAGAAATCACGTGGGCCGGTAGAAGTGGGATAAATCTGAGAAAATAATAAGTTGGGTTGAGTGGATGATTTGTGCATACATGATTATTCAGATATTGTCAAAGCCGATCCGCACATCACACCAATGTAGCTCCTATAATCGTGACAAAACAGTGAAAACAGCTGCCGACATCAAATTATTAGGTAGAACATCAAGAGTATTCTCTGCATTCAGCACTAACCTGCTGTATTTTATTTTGTCATATAGTAACACTTATGCCCATTATGTAGTCTGCACATGGAATTTGCGCACTGTGTTCCTCCCTGTCAATAGAGGGTGCTGCAGCACCCTCCACACCCCCCTACCCGCGCCCTTGAATTAGCCATATCAACAGGATTTTTTGCCTTTGACTTTCTTTTTTTATCTGACCCTTTCCCACTTTTAACTCTTAATCAAAATTTAGGCTTTCTAAAGCAGTGTCAAGAGCACATTAACTCACAGTGCCACTGCAGATTGTGATCAGGACAGGCAACAATGCACTGGCCTTCTTTGCAACATGGTTCACATAGGTGTTAGTTGGTTGTATGTGGCTCACAGCAGTATCCTTATTGGCTATTTTCATCAAGCTCAGACTGCAATTTCTTTACTCTCTCTACTTTCCAGACACTGTGTTCTATCTTGAATAATGACAATGCTAATAATGGCCAACATGGACAGTATGTGACAAGTTAATAATAACCTTACTGATCTGATATGCAGGAGTCATAATTTGTATCTGGTACAAAACATCCCCGCTTTCTGGGACAAAACACAGGGCCTTTGCTCATTTCAGCACTTCAAATCAATCTTCAGAGTGATCATCATTTCCTCTATGGGCTATCACACAAACAACCGGGGGAGGGGAGGAGGTGATCTCTCTAGTTTAGACCATCATTGTCTTTGTATGTCCCTGTCTCTGGGTCCATCTGTCAAAGCACCACTGAGGGCTGTCGGCTACCTCTCCCTCTGGTCTCCTTACCTCCTCATCGTGTCATTGCTGCTGATGATACTAAAGCCATTGTTCAGTCTGAAAAGGGTCTGGCCTGTACCTAGAAGAGAACAGTAGAACACAGAAAACTGTACTTCATCACCAGGTAGCCTCAAGGTTTTAGAGAAACACAACACCTCTCTCTTTTAGTTTGGCTTGCTTTGTTTAGTGGTGTACAGTCAAGGGCACGAGAGAAAAGAAAAAAGAAAATATGTTGAGAGAGTAAGGTACAGTGAGGATGGTCTATTTTCCACTAATAATGAGTTGGAGTATACAGAAAGTAGAGCAAGTGAGGGAGTACTTTTAGGGTGGAAAGCTTGTAATGTCAGCCCTGCTGAGATCCTTTGAGTTGTGAGTTATGTAAGTTTTGCCCTTTTCCGTTGAATGGCACTGTGAGACAGGCATTATATCATTTGACAGTACACTTTTATTCATCTAAATGAAGAAAAAAGAGACTGGATAAGAAATGTTATGCTATTCTGCAGTGCACAGCCAGTGCAAAATAATATGGTGTATAATGTATTAGGTTAAAACAAAAAAAGAGAGTTAACATTACACTGGACAAGATGTGGATTTTTTATAGCACTATTGTTTGTTGAGCTTCACACCATTAATTCCACCGTCCTCTGCTGTGTGGCCAAAGTTATCCAAGGCTTGTATGAGAACAGAAATGGGGTGGAGCATGTCATTACAGCTTCTTTCTTAGCTGAAATTTAATAAAATAAATACTCCTGAGAGAACCATTGAACTTGATAAATTGTACTGTTAGACTGTAAAATGCTACAATTGCTGCCTTTTGGCAATGGCTAAAAAGAGTTATATTAGTGGGGTGGAGTTTCAAAGTCATTTCTTGGGTCAAAAACATTTACAAAAATATCAGCAGCTGATAGAGGAGGAGTGAATGACCTGGTAGAGACCAACTGCTGCCTGTCTACAATGGCCCCTTTTCATACAATAGAGGACGTAGTAAACCAATATCAGTTACTCGTCAACTTGATGCCATCATTATCAAATGTCTGCATGCTGTGAAACATCTTGTGCTCAACAAACTTCCCACTTTGAAGCACGAGGACACAATTCTGTTTTCCGTGCAGGGAAGAAATTAGGGTCGTATGGGTAGGATCCTGCCCAGTCTGTTTGGGTCGATTCATCTGAAAGCTTGAGCAACAAACACCGTGATAGAACGAAGGTAAAGCAATTAGATATGATTTGCCTTCTTCAACCCTTTCCTCCATCATGTTACAGAGTGGGATTTGTTGCCTTTTGTTTTTAGTGGTACTTGTAGATGTAACTGGGACCAGTGCTCTTCTTCAACTAAAATTTATGATCTCTTTCATGGATATTGCGAGAAATTCTGGATCCCCTGACAACAGCTCATTCCTGCACTGAAATATATATAAGCATGGATAATTCCTAGCATGTTCCAGGGTCCCTGTCCATCTAGAGGACCTCAGGCTGTCATAAATCCACAAAGCCAACAGACAGGTCTCACTATTTCACTAACTACCTCATCTGAATCTGACATGCCACTGAGATTATAGAATGGACACCTGCTATCACAGGTGTTTCATTAAACTGCACCCAAGTTATATACACATACATACATGCACATTATCCATTACATCACTTAACTGATGGAACAGCTGACACTGCAGGCTAGAAACAGCCCACTCATTACATCATCAATGTATGCACCATGGGAATGTCTAATTCTGCTAAGTCAGATAATCAGAAAAAGATCATAAATCAAATCATACTAGCACTGGATGTTTCACTCATCACCAGGCACTGCAAAATAAAAATGTGTTGTGTTATCTGAATATGCAAAAGATACAAAGAAAATTGTTGTTTTAGTGTTACATAGTGTTATAGTATACAGTATATACCTATCTTCAGCACAGTGGCTGAGGTTTTGCTCTTTGAGTGTAGCTAGCTGTAGTCTATATTGGAAATGTGCTCACTGTGAAAAGCAAATGGAGCATGACGAGAAATCAGTGATGAACAGCATTAGGTCTACCCTCTCTCCCATTGTCACAGAGCAAGACAAGAAACAATTTGTTTTTGCAGCCCTGCTTCACCTGATGCCATACCCTAAGATGTTTGCTGTGAGTACTTAAGAACTGTGTTAACTCTCTTTTTCTCCTTCAATCCTTTTTTACCTTCCTGGCCTGAAGGCCATTTTAGACATGGTACTGGCAAATAGGTAGACCAGTGAAGCAGGTTATTGAAGAAAGAGTGGGCACAAAGAGATTAGAGGAGAATGATAATTGTGGACTGTGAATTGTGTGAAAAAGACCACTCACTGTCAGTAACTGCTAGTGACAGAATCTCCAATCCTCCACAGTAGTAGAGGGGCATCTGGCCGGGCCTTGACAGCTTCTCCAGCAGCTGCGGCACTATTGTGGCCTTCCCATGCCCCTTGTCAAACTCTTGCATCGCATTCATCTCCTGACTCTCTCTCTCTTCTTCCAAATCTACCTGGGTCAGGTATTCTTCATGCAGAAAAAAAAAGAGAAAGGGGGGAAGAAGAGAAACCAGACTGTTAACTGACAGAAAGATATTCCATATCAGTAACTGACAAGAAGTCACAGAAAAGAGTGCACTCAATGTCTCCTATAGTGCAACAACCATCCTGAGATGACCACCCCACTCACCTTTTGTAGTAAAAAGGCACTCACAAGGAAGTGGGTCTGTTGCCCAATTTGGGGTTTATACAACGAGACCATTCTCAACAATGTATAAATGATTCCATGGAATAATTAAATTGAATTACATAGGGGGAAAAACATAAAATGGTTGGACATGATACATGCATGGCCAATGAGGACAATTATGTCAATAGGACTTAAACGAATGTCCCTAAGCTAACTCCAAAAAAATCTTTACCTTTCACCATCTTCTCCCTCCCAGGTTCAATCTCCACTATCTTTTCAAAGCAGTTTCTGGACTGAAAAAGAGATGTATATGAAGAAGAATATTTGTTATATTATGTCCCTCACTGGTCTCTTCTTGACCCATGGAAATGATTCTGGCCAAACACTACAGAATTTCAGCACAAGAGTGTGGTAAATAGAAAAGTAGATGCAGTAATAATAGTATCAAATAAAGATTTCTAACAGATATCAATGTTAAATATAAGCCTATACTCCAGTGAAAGGATTAAACTAGCTAGGACTGCTCTTTTGCAATGTGCTTATTCTTACTTCAGATTCTAATTACCTGTGTTCTCTAATCCGGGCATACAACCCTTTCAATCTAGCCATGTTAGATTGGTGAAGCTATCTTGATACAAGAGCAATATATAAAAGAACACATGTGATTACATGTAATGAGAGGTAATTATTCTCACCTCATTATATTTCTTCAATGCCAAATATGCTTTCCCCATGTGTAGGTAAGCCTTAATACACCTCTCCTGACACTGATAGAGAGAAAATGATCATGGGAGTGTATCAGTTAAAGCACTTCATCAGCAACACATCTACATAATGGTGATTTAATGTTTCTGCATTGGTAATGCCAGCACAGTAAGAGAGAAATGTTCAATCTGAGCAGAGACAAAGCACTCCAGAAAGCTTGGTATGTGTTTCAGTGACATGATTACAGAAAACAGTTACTTTATAGAGCATATTCGTCATCCCAAACCTTTCATTATAAACGTGCAACGTACTTTGGCTGGAATAAAGTAAAGAAAACATAACTCCAAACAAATGAAACAAAAAAGGAAAAACTCAGAAACACTATTAATTTTTATCTACTTTTCCAAACACAATGTTCTCTTCGGAGAATATTTCTGCACTGTTCATGACCTGTATCCTGCATCTAATACTGTAGGAGTTCAGGATGGAGCATAGCCCACTGTTAACCCGTCCAACCAATTTGCCTACCACTAAATATATCCCTCTGAGTTCCTAGACTTTACCTTTAGTGCCCATTCACAGTCACTGATGGCCTCCTTGTACTTTCCGAGCTTGATGTAGGCCTAAGTAGATTTAAACATTGGACAGGTAACTGATCATAAAAAACACATAAAAAGTAAATGTGGCTTTACAAAGCAAAAAATGTGATTAGTAGTGCAGCATTGTTTTAACATACCACAGAGCAGACTGTGTCCTTGGAAGGGGACATATTGATTGTAACAATTAACTTAATTGCATGTGACCATAATATTGAAATTAAAGTCCCTAGCTGGCAACCCCTCAGGTTGCCTTGAGACTTCTGTGAAACCAAAAGTTTCTTTATTATGTCACGGTGACAGGCACACAAAAGCAGTTCTGCTTTGATGTCTTCTGAGGGACAAAGACTTGTTTGTCACTTTTCTTTAAATCTGGCATCAACTCATGGAACTTTTCATCCAAAGCATTTAAAAGATGAAAAACATCTGAAGGCTGAAGATACCTACTTGGGCTCGGTTGGTGTACAATGGCTGCATGTCCCTTAGTTCAGCCAAGCCATCGCTGTAATACTTCACAGCAGTTTCATAGTTTCCTTGAGTATACGCTTCATTCCCCTTGTCTTTGAGTGCTAAAGTGACACAAACGGTACAAAACTTAAAATTACATATTGCAAGCTCAATAGAGCAGCAAGTACAGCAAACTGTTCACCTCCAGCAGCATCTTTAAGCAACAGAGAATCACGCACCAGTTGCCTTTTGCGCCTTTGCAACCCTCCTTAATCTTCTGTCTTCAGCATCTCTCTCCATAATCTTCATGAAATTCTCTGGTCAAAATAAGATAAAACTCGTGAGCATGAGTGCTACAACAGAGAAGAAAGGAACTGTAACAATATCTGTCATACGGCAATACTTCACACTGCATACAAATTTCAACTCTCTCCCTTGCCCTTGTTTTGAAATCACAGATTTCAAATAAGCACAACCCAATCATCAATTTACCAATCTAATCATAACTGAGGTCATAGAAATTACAACTGGGTTCTAAGTATGTGCTTGTATCCAAACGTTTTTGTGTTAAAAATGCCGTTTTTAAATTAGGTTTTGAAAGTCATCTTTGGTGACTATAAAAATCCCACAGGGTACTTATTGTGTGTGATTGTTAACGCTAAATGTTCTCCCAAAGATAGATATTGCTCTCCAAAAGTCCAATGTAATAAATATCAGTTGGAGGTAATTTAAAAACTGTTTCACTTTCTCTTCAGCCTTAAGCACAGAATTACTTTTTCTTCCTCATTTTGTGAATTGAATGTATCATGTGTTAACTTCAATATTAGTGGTTTCACACAGAGAGGTGGAAAAGGGTCACGCATTTGTGGCTTTACTGTTATTGATGAGTTTTATCCCCATAACAATTAAAATTAATGTTGATTTGTTTCATATGGAATACCACATTCAAGGTGCTGGGATAAAAAGGATGTATTGTGAAAAAAGTAATACAAGCATGTATGGCTTCTCCCACATTGTAGCCAGTAGTACAACTCTCCTGTCATGTAAGAGCACTCTAAACAGACAAACCAACAAAAACATATCAGTCATATCCAATCATTCATATCCTCTAATCCATAGCAGTGCCCTACTCACCATGGCATACTGACAGTTTGCAAAGGACGTGAAGCGTTCACTTCACACCCTATCAAACCTCTGCCAACTAAATTGACAAGAAAAAGCACAAACATGGAGGAGTCTGAACTGGTCTACACAGGCAAGCATCAGAACATGGTCACCCTTGAAAAAGGACGATAGAGCCAGTGTAATGCTAAGGACACACTTTGTACCGATCTCTATCTTAATGTGGTGCATGGGGAGCGACCATCCTGCCAAACAGGAAAATGTATATATTGATCAAAAAGATTGACTGACACAAGCCAAGACTTGAGGTGCACAGTCAAGGATGTTGATATTCACAGCGGCTGCTGAAAATCCAAGTGAAACAGACTGCATCTCTTACTGCTGTGTTTGTTCAGGCAGGCTAAATACACTGAGCAGTCTAAGTAAAAATGTAGTTTATATATATTTTAGTGATTATATCTTTTTCTTCAGTTCTTCACTGTTTCCAGAGTTTATATTTGAAAAAATGATACATAGAATACAGAGAGTATATTATTGTATTTTGTTTGTTGCCTCAGAGAAACTTTGCTTGCCATGCACAATAAAGACAGAACCGAATAACCAGCTCACCTGGACTTTCATTCTGCAGGCTCTGTATAACAGAAAGAAGGAAAAGAATATTAACAAAAACTTTCCTAGTCCTTACAAGGTAATGTACGCCTTGCCCCTTCTTCCAAGGAACAACATAAGAAGAAGGTGTTGGTTGTATATAGTATGTGCTCTGTGTGTGCGTGTGTGTAGTGTTGGAGGGACAGTTACAGCAAGAGAAAGAGACAGACAGACAGAGTGAGGAAGACCAAGACAGACAAGGAGAGGAGAGAACTGCAAAGTCTTTACCAAAGAAGGCTGGAGAGGTGGACTTGTGTTGATAGTGGTCTTGTTGACTTTTGTCATGCAAGGTTCATCCAAGGCAGCAATGTAGCAATCAGCTTTCTCTATTGCTTTTTGCTGGACTTCTACATCAGAACACTTTAGATCATTCACTAGCTCACCTGAAAAGAATTAATGATGTATTTTACAGTTTACAGCCTTCACTCACATGTTCAATATCTATAATAATCACATATGTTGTAAAATGTATATTTTTAAGACTTGTGTATCGACATTGTTTATTTTGACCAGATTAGAGTTTCATACAATTCATACATATGTTTAGATTGTAACTGCTGCAACGATTAATTGATTAGTTGTCAACTATTAAATTAATCGCCAACTATTTTGGTAATCTATTAATTGCTTTGAATAATTTTTAAAGAAATAAAAGAAAAAAATTCTCTGAATAGAGCTTCTTAAATGCGAATATTGAATTGAATATTTTCTGGTTTCTTTCCTCCTCTATGACTACTGAATATATGTGGGTTGTGGACAAAACAAGACACCTGAGGACGTCAACTTGGGCTCTTGGAAACACTGATCAACATCATTATATAAACCAAACAACTAATCCTTTAATTCAGAAAATAATCATTAGCTGCAGTCCTAATTGTAAACCTAACCTGCATGTTAAAATATACCAATTACCAAAGTGGACATGATATACAGTAAAGTAGCCCTTCACCAACTGTAAATTGTTAGAAAAATAAACCACTAACGTTATGTTACATTTTACAATGCAGTTATTATAATGATTATGGTGTTGATGGCATGAAGATCCCTGTTAGCTCGTGTTACCTGGTAAATGGTAATGTCTAACCTTTCGCGTTATAAAAACAGTGGACTGTCTGAATCACAGCAATAATTTGAGTGAGTAACGTTAACTCTTGTGTGTTAGCTAACGGTGTAACGTTATAATGATCCGATTAACGTTAACGTTACAAAGTTAATAATGTAACTAACGTAAGCCATTTAAAGTTAACTTACCTGTTACAGTCCCTCGTCAGTCTACTTAACTAGCTAACTAACGTAATGAATTAATTAATTTTGCTCCATTTGGCACAAAGATAGCCATTTTAATAGCTAACGTTAGCAATTAAATTACCTAACGTTAAGTTAGCGTTAACGTTAATAATAGGCTCCACAGCTCTACTCACTTATTTTGTCAACATTCTTCAAAAAACTCTCGATGTCTTCAAGTTTGTCCATCGTACTTTTGTCCTTTTAAGTATTATTTAATAAACTAAGTAACATTAGTTATTTTCACTTTTGCTAAAGGTGAATTTTTTTTCCGTCTCAGCGTTCAGTTACCATAGCGACGTGAAGCCTTTACGGCCACCTGTAATCTTCTGACCTAAACTCTTCTTCTTCTTCTTTTGATTTTTACGGCACCTGGCATCCATTGAGTTGCATTATTGCCACCTTCAGGCTTTATTTACCCTTTGCTTTCATTCATAATTTCTTATATACAGTCTATGTTCATACTAAATCCACCTATCTAATCCAGTCGCCCTCAGAAAACAAATTCCATTCCATTTCCTACCTTCCACACTCTCTCCATACTCCAATAAACCTTTTACTGTATTATCTACCCGTCCTATTTTTTTTTAACTGTGTTGTAATTTCTTGTCTTACCTGAGTAAATTTCCTGCATGTTATAAGAATATGTTCTACTGTTTCAGCCTCCTAACATTGTTCACACATTCCTGTAGGATGTTTTCCTACAATTAAAAGTGTGCTGTTAAGATTGCTATGCCCAATTCTCAGCCTGCTTATTGTCACCTGTTCTTTCCTCTTTGCTCCCCTACTTCTTGATATGCCTACTCTGCTTTGGATTGCATGTAAATGTCTCCTTTTTATTGCATTATCCCAGCTCTGTTGCCATTGTTGATTTACACTTCTCCACACTATCCCTTTCCCCTCGGATTTGGTCAAATTAATATTGACTTCAACATCTCCTTTTTTTTAACTCCTTCTTTTGCCAGCTTATCTGCTTTCTCATTTCCCTGAATTCCTGAGTGTGCAGGGACCCGCAAAAATATGACATTTTTTCTGAACTAAACTTGCAACTGCACAAAGTTGTCATTACGCCATAGTATAAACAATGACACAATAGCTGGAGTCAGTGGTTTATTAATTACCCCGGTTGTACATGCAGAACGAAGACTAACAAATGCCACTGTTATTTAAAAGGAAAAAAGAAATATCCCACCTGTTTCCTAAACGGCATGTGTTATCAACAAAATGTATCACTTACCACTTTTTATTTTACTCTGTCATAAGTATGTTGTGTCCCAAGTAGTGAATTATTACATTACATATTTTGTAATTTGTTTGCCTTAATCCAAGAATCCAAGAAGAGAATTGCCAAATGTATTTCTTTTATAAATAAATATTAATAATATTTATTACTCTTTGATTTACCTGACACTTTTATCCAAAGCGACTTACAATTGCTATACATGTCAGAGGTCCCACGCCTCTGGAGGAACTAGGGGTTAAGTGTCTTGCTCAGGAACACATGGTGGATGTCTCACAGTGGGAATTGAACCCAGATCTCCCACACGAAAGGAAAGCATCTTATCTATGCGCCATCACCACTTTTTGATATTTTCTTCATTGGACTGTTAAGTATTCAAGGACCCCCCTTTCCCTGCACATAGGCTATATTCTGCTCACCCCTACTGTACAGAGTGACCATCTTAATATGGGAGCATTCTTCACCTTGAATGCCTGCCTGCCTTTTTCTCAGCAATAGATCAACACCGCCTCCCTGTGGCTAAAGACACATCAAGAAATGCAGCTAAGCAAACACATTTTCTAAAATCAGCTGATTCTCATTATAGGGCAGATGAACATTTAATGTTGCCATAACTTTAGGATGGAGTAAGATGTGACTTATCTACATAAAAATGTAAATATATACAGTGAGTAAAATGAATAGCCACAAAATGAATAGAGGAAGAAAAAAAACAATAGGATTTGATAAGCCTCATCAGTTTAATAGTTCACCACAAAATCTGCATATGGACATTAAAGTCTATAAAAAGAGGGTCCTTCCTCTTACTGCCAAAAAAAAAAAAAAAACAGGTGCAGCAACTTCCTAGCCTACTGAATTTCTTCATACTGCGGAAGGAATTAGTAACAGCAATGTTAATGTACCATTAAAGCAATAAAGGAAGGATGAATTTGATTCATGTGAAATAGTTGTATCTATTCCAACTGTAGTAAAAACCAAACTAGTCAGTTCATTTGTGCAATATGAGCAGAAAAAAAACATTATATTGACCCCCTCCCCCAAGCTCAATTTCTATTTGCTGACACATAAAAGAACATTAAAACATTTAATTAGTGAAATAAATACCAACAGTTGACAAATTAATTTGTATTTAATCAAATGTATTTTTTTTTTTTAGGTAAAAGGCTTCCCCCTTCATTCCCCCTTCATGGGGTAAAATCACATATTTATCTTAAGGCTCCCCTTAGCCAGAGGAAGTGTTGAGGAAAGCTATTGTGACATTTTGTGTGTGTGTGGGGGGGGGGGGGGGGGGGGGGTGTTGGGTAGTAATCAGCAGTAGGGGAGACTGGGTATGGATGTAACATGAGGATAGTTGTAACAACAACAATTCCACCAATTAGAGATAAGATAGGAGTCATGTGATCATTTCAGTATTTACCTACTTCAGGCTTGGTTTTTGTCATGGTGGTTGTCAAGGCTGGAAACAGTTAGATTTAGAATATATAGAGAAAAAACAGATTTTGAGGTCAGAAAGTAATTTTTTTGACCAAGACTATATTTTGTTTAGTATCTATACTATTGCATGTAAAATTTTTGAAAATTTTGAAATGTAGTTTCAATATGTGATGTATTTTTTCCTTTCTAATTTCAAACCAAAATGCTAATACAGCTAGCTAGACAATGGCTGACAGGGGTGGGATGGGTTGTAACACTTCTTTAAAAAGTGTTGCAACCATCCCCTATACATACAACTAGGGACTTTAATGATTTTAATATTGTTACAGAATGCAGTCTCTGAGCTCACTCAGCTTGCACTCCAGGGTTACCAGCATTAAGTTGTCATCACTGTGACCAGTACTTCCCATTCACATGTTGTTCACATGTTGGCGTGTGTATCGGCATTAAATCTTTTCCATACTCCATCTCCACCAGTGGACAGGGGAGAGAAGAGTACAGGCAGCTTGTGAGAAGTATCGGTGTGCAAGAAAAAGTCGCAGTACTCCAAAGAGTAAAATATAGAAGTGCTGGTACTGCGTACCAGTGAGTACCGGCCCACTTCAAGCACTGACTGTGACTCTGATTAAGAATATACACACATTGACACAGACAGACAAACACCTCTTTTTTTGTTAGACCTAAGGATGCACAAAGATGTTAATTAAGTACATTGTATTAGTATTTATTGAGTATACTGTTAAGTCAGTTTATTCTATATCTATATCTAACCAAAACTAGTGTCAAGTTCATCCTTCAGCTAAAGCAAATTATCAGGATCTGCTGATTATCACCAAAATATTTAATAGCCTTGCAGGTTTGATCTGAGACTTGTACATTCAGGTGCAGTGCAGCTGTAGCAAGTTGGACTATAGTTTTCTCCAAATCAATCAAATGTCAAAGGTGGCATGTACATGGCACAAATGGCTTATTGGGGTCCATTTACCTCAGTGCCAGAGGAGTTTATCGCTTATTGTGAAAATATTGCAAAACACAAAGCCAAATGCCAACTTACATGCTATAGTAATCTCAGGTATGAAAACATTAAAGATTCAGTGTGTAAATTTTAGTGGTGAGGGTTGAAAATTGCAACAAATGGCTCACTGTGCATTCACTTGCTCCTCGGGCGAAATAAGTACTTTATAATAAATGTATTAATTCTAATGGCAATTGTAAATTCAGCAGTAAACAACAACAAAAAGGCTGTGGATACTTTACATAATATAGACTACCCCTTTCTGATTTATTTGTAATAATTTCTGCAGACTATAGAGCACTCTGTGACAGCAAAATAACTCACAATGAAGTTCTGAATGCTATTCTAAAACTCAAAATAACAAATCTCCAGGCAATGCCAGTCTCACTTCAGAATTTGAAGTTCTGCAATGAACTGACCCTTTTCTTTTCAATGCCTTTTCTGAAAGTATTGAATTTGGACTATTACCGCCTTCAGTAACTCAAGGCCTTATCACCCATATTCCAAAACCCCAAAAAGACTTACTTTTGGACAATTGGTGTCATATTTGTCTGCTCAATAATGACTACAAAGCACTAGCTAATATTCTTGCATGTACAAAAAAAAAAACATAGCCTCTGTAATTGACGAATCACAGTAGGGGTTTATGTAAAACAGGCATATTGCAAACAATGTTAGGCTGGTTCTGTATTTATTAGATTACTCTGAACTCATTCATGATAACAGCTTTATTCTGTTTTTAGACTTTTATGCGGCCTTTGATTCCTTAGAACACAAATTTATTTATCAATCATTTCTCCTTGCTGCTCAATTCCTCTCCATGCTAATTCATGAAAGTAATATTCAAGGTATCTCTCTTGCTGGCAAACAGATTACCATAAGTCAGGTTGGTGATGACACTACACTTTTTTTGGAAGATTCAAACCAAATTTCTGTTGCAATTAAACACAATATTCTCTGAAGCATCCGGTCTTTATCTTTTTGTGATAACTAACTGAAGTTGAACATCAGCCCTATTATCAATAAAACTCAGAAAAGATTAAATCTCTGGCTCCAGAGAGACTCAACCTTAAAATGTAGAACTCTGAAGTTGAAGGTATATTCAGGCTAACATGTGCTGCACTTGCCTTAAATGTTGATTCCTGTTTTTGTTATCTATTGATAAGATGCTATTTAAGATTATTTGGAAAAACAAAATCCATTATAAAAAAATACTGTGATGATGAACACTATCGACTCTGGAGGACTTAACCTACATTTTAGATTTTGCTACCTTGAACTATACCTTTAAAATCAAAATGTCTATGTAACCCAGAATCCATTTGGAACTTTATTCCAAATTACATGTTTTCTAAATTAGGTGGTCTTCCTCTTATGTCAAACTACAGTATTGAGAAATGACCACTTAATTTAATTAATTTCCTCTAACTAATGCTGTTAGCTTGATCTCTGTTATACAAGCACTCTTTCTCTCCGCTTAAATATCTCATCTGGAATAACTGTGACATATTAGTGAAAAACAAATCTATATTTTTCCAAAATTGATAAAATTCTATTTATAAAACAGTTATTTATCTCAGAAGGTTTTCTAATGGATTACTCTGAATTCTTG